TTTGATTTGATTTTTTATAGATAGCAATTGTTTTTTTATTATTTGGAATTTGTCCGGGTTTTGCCAGCAAGTATACTATAGAGGGTGACTATAGAGGGGTGACTATAGAGGGGTTCGACTGTATAAAGAACACTTGTTACTCTAAGTATTTAAAATAAAATATTTAATTTTATTTTATTAAATTTATTCTTAACAATAAAGAGCACTTATTAATCTAATTATTTAAATAAGCTATTAAAACCATAAACATTTATCATTTGAGTGCCGCTAAAAGAAACCCGAAAATTTGAATGACTTATATTCAAATTTTCGTGTTTTCTTTTAGCGACACTCATTTAATTTTATTTGATTTATTATAATATATTGCATGAACATAAAGGACATTTATTAGTTAATAATTTAATTTATTCAAATCCATAAAAGAAGAATTTATTAATCTATGGATTTAAATTAAATTACCAAGTTCACGAAAATTCACTAATTTCATTTATTTAAGTTAATTTAGAAAGTAAGTACAAAAGCATTTATTAATCTTGATACTTAAAATAATTTAAGATGTAATTTTATTTTGACTCGCATTAATTTAAAGAAGTCATTTATCAATATAAATATTTAACATGTTCATAAACATTTAATTTTTAATTGTAAGTATTAAAACATTTATACCAGTAACATAATGGAATGGAAGTATATGTTTAGATTCGAGTTTGGTATTCATACACAATATCTTGATTTTAATTTGATACTATATACAATCTTACGATCGATGTATCAAATCGCAATAATATTTTGTGTGAATAAATTAATAGTAAAACCATTATGCAGTCAACATTTCAAGTGAATTTGTAGGGACGAGATTTTTGAAAATATAGATTTGAAAAATAAAAAAAAAAAAAAAAAACAACTATAGAGATTAAGTATATGTTTGAGCCGGATAAGAATTTTCAGAATGTTGACGTGAAGATGATTGTTGTCTTGGTTTTTCGGAAGGTTGACGAGAAGAACTCAATCTCTGCCGTGATGTAATGTTGTGTTGATTATTATTTAAACGCGGTTGTCTACTAGATTGAAGACTATGAGAAGTATGTGATTCATCATCATCTTCCCAAATAACATGCCAGAATGAAAGAAGCACTGCTGGACGAAGCTAACTACGGAAAGCACCGAAGACAGATACCATTACCTGAAGAAAGACTACATGTTAATACAAGAACTAAGTATATATGTATAATGATAAAAATATACCAACTTTAAGGAATGATTTTGTTCGTCAACTCTTTAAGGTTTTTAAAACGGTCTAGAAACTTAGAACTTATACAACCATTAGTAATCTTCGTCATGCCAAAAGTGTACCAAATTTAGTCCCTTCTTGTGGTTCCGTGCGTAGCTAATATAATTTTTTTTGCAACGTCATTCTTACGCGAAAAATGAACAACTCATATTTTTAATTGTATAGTTTCTTTTAGCGTATTTAGTTTTGTAACTATCATCATGAACTGTTTCTGAAATGCTGATCTGCAGAGTGTTTGATTGCATTCAGCCACACTTGCTTGAGTCGAAGTTTGGTATGCACGACTTGATCCCAGCATGATAGCTTTTTTGCCGAACATATGAACGGTAGACTTCAGTACTTCGAGGTTGTGACGTCCAGCGGGAGAGACTTGGTTATATCGTTATTGATTTAGTTCAGGGTTAAGGGGACGAAAGTAAGTGTCTATTATCTCTTTACAAGTATCCAAAGTACTGAACCAATATTTTTATTTGTGTCCCAGACACTAACTGTACTAATATTCTTCCCAAACTAATCAACCTAGTTATTGAATAGATTGTCATTCTCAGCGTGTTGATGAAGATAGAAACGATGATGAGGATGATGATAACGGTGTGCTGATGTTTCGAGAGTGAAGATGATGGACGACGTTCTTTCGTGACTTTATGAAGTTTTAACCACGTTCCAAAATATCCAGAGCCACTTTTAA